TATATATAAATTTACTATTTACATAAATACCACTCAACGACTATGTATTTATACATCTAACCTGAGAATTTATATTTTACATTTTTCTTAAATATAAAATGGTAGTATGTGCAAAATGTAGAGTTTAGGAGTTAGATCGTGTTAATAATTGGATTTTGAGCTCAAATGGATCGAGTTTGGCTGGAAATAGACTGGGGTTTTTATATTTGATGTTAAGATTGTTCCGCTCGAAACTGAATCGAGCACAATCCAGACCAAAATCAGAACGAGTTGGCTCAAATTGAGTCGTTTAGATTCGTTTCAATTTGAAATCTGCTCTATCCGGCTCGAAATCGAAATGAACCGGTTCACGTTAAGTTATTTGGATATGTTTTTAGCTCGAAATCAGCTTGTTACACTCGGCTTTATTTAGCGTTATGTACATATTTTTTTATAAATAAATATTTCGAGCTAGTTCGAGCCGATTCATGCATGGTCTGAAAACAGCTCTAAAAAAAATTGATCCAAAGTTTCAACTCCTAGTCTGGCTTGTTCATTTTGATCCGATCTTAATCCAAGCCAAAATTTAAATGAAACTTCGAGCGATTAAACAAACGATCATTCAAGCTAAATTCATAATACTAGGCATGTGACCTCTTGGGACTAAAGTGGAATGAATGTAAATTTCTTTAATTTTAGGAAGATTTTCCTATTTATATATGTATATAAACTTTTATTATATATTTTTACACTTAAATTTTTATATTTCATGCATACCAATCAATTTGACATTATATATAAAAAAAATATTATTGCTATCAATTTTATAAAAAGAAATGCAATTTTCATTGACAAATTTGTAAGGCAAAAATATTATAAATGTAATAAAAATGATACTTTTAAAATATATCAGAATTGTGTGACATGAATGCAAATTTTCCTTATTTGATCAAAATTGATAGAATTGAAATTAGACTTGAATAAGATTGAGGTCATTTATGCAATATATATATATATATATTCATGTAAAAAATATGACAATTATAATTTATTTTATTAATATTTTTGACGCAACATTTCAACCATGTTCCAAAATTATTTGAATTGAGTTCGAGCATTATTTGAATATCAATCAAATGAGATTCACATTCAAAATTAGGGATGTAGTTGAATCGAGCAGACTCATGAGCCAGCTCCAACGCGACCCGATAAGTAACACGCTAAGCTCAAGTCATGCATAACTTAACCAGTTAGCTCATAAATATATTCAAAATATATTAAAATTTAAAATTTATTTTTAAATTAAAAAATAATATTTTACATTTTATGTAATTCACCTTTTCATGCTATGCAAAATTTGAAGTTGACTCACGTGTTGGATATGTAAATACATAAAATTTGAGCAGTACGCATGCAATACTTCCTAAATAAGGGGCAATTACATACATAGCACCCGAAACATTGCTATTTACAAATCTATCACCCTTTTGATCCATTTTTCAAATCCTCACTCAAATATTCCAAATTTATGATAAAACTCCAAGCCATATTTTTCATTTTTATCAAATTCTCAACTGTTCTGACAGTGTTTAGCATAAATATATCAATTCGATGGCTAAAAAAATCACTTTGGAGCGCTAGATTTTGTAAATAGCAATGTTTAGATATTATTTACAAATATAGCACCCTCTTTCATAGACATCAATGATAACTACTGCTAATATATGAGCAAATTCAATCCCTAACAAAAAATAGAAACAAAGGAAAAAATATTATTACATCAAGAGTCCTGATGCAAAAGTTCAATCACAATGCGCCACGTGTACAGTATGACTCAATCATGCGTTAAACTATTTAATTTTTGTATTCAGTGGGGTCAGACCGTACATGTGGCGCATTGTGATTAATTGCATCAGGACTCCTGATGTAATATTTTTTTCGGAACAAAGATACTAAAAATTCAAATCAAATTAAAGG